CAACCCTGTCCCCATGGATTTAAGGAACTGATGGGGGGTCACTGGCCAGGAGCTACTGAGGAATTTCATCCCTCCTCTGCAAACGCCTCTGAGCACACACTGACCTCATTTGTCCCACCTGCTTCTTTTTTAAAAGCAAACCCAAATGAATTAACAGCAATTTGGGACAGCTCATCTGAGGAGGGTCATGGAGGACCTGCAGTGGGATTTGTTCTCTCTGTGCCAGGCTCAGCCCAACCAAGGACCCCAAAACGCCTCCTCCCTCCTCAGGGGGAGGGCACAGTGGGGGGGGGGGCACAGGGACCAGTGGTGGCTGTCCCAAGCAGAAGGGACCGCTCTGACCTCCAGGATCTTTGCCAGCTTCTTGCTGCTCTTCAGCTCCAGGGAGGCCTTGCAGATGCACTCGTAGCTGGCTTTGATCTCCTCGGTCTTCTCCTGCAGGGTGGTCTTGAAGTGCAGGCTGCGCAGGCGGATCTTGTACTCGGGCACCGACAGCATCTGGGCAAGAGGGCAGGGTCACCTTCTGCAGGGCAGTGCCACCATCTGCAGGGTCATCTTCTGCAGGGTCACCTTCTGCAGGGCAGTGCCACCATCTGCAGTGTCACCTTCTGCAGGGCAGGGTCACCTTCTGCAGGGTCACCTTCTGCAGGGTCACCTTCTGCAGGGTCAGCATCTGCAGTGCCACAGGCCCCCTGCACAGGACTTCTGCTGCCCTGGGCATGGAACAGGAGCTACAGGTGGCACAGGGCAGGTGTGCTGCCACGGGATGGGCACTCTCACACCAACACCCACAGGTGGCTTTGTCAATGGAAGATAAATCAGAGCTGGGCAAAGCCACTGTCACCAGGGAGCAAATGTGTTGGTGGCTCTGCAGCTCTGAACCAGCCCCTGGGAGCTGCCAGACCCCTCAGGCATCAACTGAGCATCAACTGAGCATCACCCCAATGGTCCCAGTGCCATCAGCCCCAGGTGTGAGTGTGCTGCTGGCAGGACAGGGCACACACAGCATCACCCAGGTGTGAATGCCCTGCTGGCAGGGACAGGCACACTCAGCCCCCTCCCAGAGCACGGCACCTGCAGCACGAACTGGTCGGGCTCGCTGAGCTTGCCGGGGCTCTCCTTGTAGCTCTGGAAGCGCTGCACCTCCTCCCCGTCCGGGGCGTAGAGCAGCAGCTGCTTGATGTGGGAGGGCTCCAGGCGATCCGTCTCCATCGTCATCAGGATCTGCCGCAGCTCCGCGTGCGACAGCTTCAGGTGCGCGATCAGGATGGCTGGGGGGGAGGCACGGCACTGTCACTGTCACTGTCATTGTCACTGTCACTGGGGGGAGCAGGGGACACCGGGGTGTGGCAGGGCTGGGGACGCAGTGCCTGGCAGGGACAGGGACAGAACAGAGGGACACACTGCCCAGCAGGACAGAGGGACAGGACAGACACAGGAGCAGGTCACCAACCTCCCCACGGAGTGAGACCCCTGCAGGTGCCCAGGCAGGCACAGCCCTGGCACAGGGAGGGTTTTCCCCTCCCTGGGACCCTGCAGGGGCTGCGTGGGGACCCAGGGGTGGCTCTGGTCCTGCAGCCCCCCAGGGCACAGCACGCACCTCATCCACACCCCAGCTGGGCTGCCCAGGGACCAGCCCTGCTCCCACATCCCCAGAGCCAGGGGGATCCTGGGCAGGGTCCCACCGAGCCCTCCCAGCCTCCTCCCGACCACAAACACATCCTGAGAGGCAGCACTGCCCCTACACTGCCCCAGTTCCCTGCAGGGGTCCCCAGGACCACCAGGCACATCCCATCCCCATCCTTCCCCAAAAAGTTCCATCCTTGCCCCCAAAGTTCCCTCCTTGCCCTGCCCAGGCTGAGCACACTCTTGGGCAGCTCTGGGCTGCAGGAAGAGTCCAGTCAGTCCATCCCAGCTGAGCTGTGCCCATGGGATTGAGCTCATGGCCTTCCCCTTTACCTTTCCAGCTCTCTACATCCCACCTGTGGGCCCCTTTTGGGGGTACCTTCACTTACATGTGTTGTAGGCCTTTTTGTGGGACAAAATTTCAACCACGTCTTTCTTTTTAAAGTTTTCAGGCATGAGAGTTGGCTCTGGAAGAGAAACTGAAAGATTTAATCGTGGGTAAGGACAGGCTCAGGCGGCTCCAGCGGGAAGAAAACTGTCCTGCAAACATGAGACCATGAATGAGAGAGAGAAGGACGGATGCTTTGCACACAGCAATGGCTCCAGGAATCCTTGAATTCTGCAATTCAAAGATCTCCCCAATGGAGGGCTCAGCTGGAGCTGAAAAAGGCAAAAGGAGAGGTGAAACACACAGAAAATCCCAGACTGCTCAGATACATCCTACAAACAGCGTGCCCTGAGATGAGCCCCATTGCATTCCAGTGCCAGCTGGGCACCCTGGCCCCTGCAGGGCAGCTCAGACATCCCACTGGCTTCACTGGAATGCCTCCCACAGGGTCACCACCACCCCACACCCCAGCCTGGACCTTGCTCTGGGCTTGTGGCACCCAAAAACTGCTCTGGGTGAGGATCCCGTGGGGCTGTGGGTGATGGGAGCTGCACAGGCACAGAGCTCCAGAGCCAGCACAGCTCTGGGGACATCCACTGATTATCTGCACAAAGAGTGAAGTGCTGCTGGAGGTGATTTCCTTGGACACAGCAATGTTTTCATGGCTTTTGCAGCATTTCCAGAGCTCTCAGGCACTGGACCTGCAGTTGGTGAAAGCCTCAAGCTGGGTTTCAGTGCCCAATGAAATGTGGAGAGAAAACAGATCGTGGCAGCAGGGATAATTAAGGGAGATAATGAAACCATCTCCACCTTAATGATCCACTGTGTCACAGCCACAAAATCCTGAGGATGAACAAATTCATGGCATGGGTGATGTCACAGACTGGCATTGCCCTGCTGCCCATCCATTCCCACTCCCTCCCAGTCCCTCCCAGCTGGAAATGGTCTCTGCTGGCACCAGGACCCGTTCTGGGGCTCAGTACTTACTCGTGGGCTTCTGAGTGCCAAAGTGCAGCTCCAGGTCGAGGTATTTGACCATGTCACTGAGCTTGTCATAGTCAGAGTCTTCCCCGAGCTGTGGGAGGAGGAATAGGGGCTGTGCTGGGACGGGGACAGCCCCTCAGTGCCACCTGTGCTGGCACCTTCCCTGTGCCCACACCCAGCTCCTGTCCCCAGACAGGCTGGGGGCACCTCCTGTGACTGCAGGCTCAGCCAGTGCCCTGCAGATTCACTCAGCTCCTGACACAGAGCACCTCTGTCCTCATTGCTCCTTGCACATGAGCCCCTCACTGGAGGATAAAATGGCAATCCCAGGAGCTTCGGGGATTGTTCTGCACACAGAGAAATCACCGTGAGGAAGGATATTCCTCTCTGGAGTGCTGGGGAGAGGGAGCTGCAGGGTTCAGTGCCTGTGGGACTGGAAGGTGATCCCACAGCTCCCCTCTGGCTGCTCAGGGCACAGGGAATACGGCATGTCCTGACCACCGGGAGACACCAGAGGCTGGGAGTGAAACCCTGGTGAGGGGATGGGATCCACCTCGGAGTTCTGCACCACTCCATGGCCACCATGCCAAAGGACGGTCCTGCCTTGTGTCACCCCTCACCTCTGCTGTCCCCTCCACTGTCCTGCCCTGTCTGGGGCTCTCCCATCACTGCTCCACCCATCCTCATCCTTTCCCACTGAACCCCCTTCCCAAACCGCTGCAGAATCCATCTGGAGGCAACTCCTGAGGGCAGGGGAGTGCTCCCCACGATGCTGCAGACAAAATCAGAGCTCAGAGGCTTCCCAGGGCCTCCCCCAGCCCAACAGTTCGTTCCAAACAACCGACGGATGCACGGGAGCCCCGCAGAGCCTCAGCACAGGTCACCGCTCCCCGGGACACATCTGGGACCCCCTGTACCTGCCCTCCTCCCCTCTCCCGGCCATACCTGGCCCCAGATGGTGCCCTCCGAGTTCTCCACCTGCTCCCAGCGCAGCCTCTTGACGCTCATGTGGTTGGAGTCGCTGCGNCCATGGAGGTGCCCAGCCATTCCCTCCTGCCCCAGGAGCCGGGCAGCTGGCTGGGCTGGCTGCTCTCCAGACCCTCCCTCTGCACTCTTACCGTTGGAGAAGCTGACGATGCCCTCTTCCACCACCAAGGTGGGCATGGCCCCGCTGCCCTGCAGCATCGACACCACCTTGTCGTGGGAGCAGTTCCTGCAGCACAGAGAGCTCGGTCAGAGCTGCCCAGGGCAGCAGGGAGCACACACAGCTGGCAGCTCCTTCCTCTGTCTGGGAAAGCCTCCTGGTGCTGCTCAGAGCCCCTCTGTGATCCCCTGGATTATCTCCGCCTGTGCTGCCCCAAGGCAGAGCCTGGGTCCTGCCCCACCAGTGGGCACCAAGAAACAACCATGGCAATGCCTGTGCCCGCCCTGAGGAGTGCCATGGCAGAGTTAAGCTGCACCCAGACCCAGAAAATGATTTTTCCTTTAAATAACACAGTGCTGCAGGTCTGTCCTCGCCTGCCCTAATTCCGCGTGGAAATAAAAGGCAAGGGGAACATGAAGTGTAATTTTGTAGGTGAGGAAATCTCGGGATGCCCTTGGAGAAGGGCATGGGCCAGGCTGGGACAATGCCTGCCAAAAGCAGGGCTCAGAGAACAATCCTCAGCCCGGTCTCCTTTTCCTGGCAGTGCTGCATCAGCCAAGAGTTCGCTGGATCAGCTGAAACGTGAGAACCCGAGCCCTGACAGAAGCAGCATCGCTTTAACCTTTAAATATTCATCACTCTCTCTTGTCCTGCAGCCTCCTCTCACCCTTTGCTCTTGGTTTTTATGCAGAAAGACACCCCCAAGGACACAGCACGGGTGAGGGGCACAAGTCCCTCTGGTGCCACTGCTTTGGTGCACAAACAACACACAGAATTAAACTCTGGGTACAAGTGGGATTCCCACATGGGGAATAATTTTGTTAAGCTTATGATCCCATTGTGGGAATGATTCCTGGGCTGGATGGGGCTCTGCTGCTCCCCAAAGCAGAACCCCAGGTGTTCAACACCTACAGATTAACTCAGAGTGTCTGAAATTGGGGACTGAGATGGGCTGCAGTCAGAAGCCAGGCTATACAAACTGTCCTGCACAGAGAACCCAGAGGAGGAGCAGGGCTGGAGAAAATGCTCCTTTAGAGCCAGGTGTTGTACAGCAGCACCAAAGGGGCTGTCCCCAGCTGTGCCCTCAGGGCAAACCACGGCAGCACACGGGGACAGGGCCAGCAGCTCCCATTCCCCCTGCCCAAGGGTGAGCACAGAAAACACAAAAACAGCGTGTGCCCAGCCCCTGCCCAGCCCTGGGTGCCCTGCCCAGCTCGTACCTCATGTCCAGGCCGTTGAGGAACAGGATCCTGTCTCCAGCTTTGAGCGCAGCCTTCTCCGCCGGGCTCCCTGGGGGCACAAAGGGGCTCCAGCTGCAGCTCCCCTGCCTGGGATGGGCATCCAGGGGCATCCCCAGGCAGGGCACCCCTGCACATGGCCAGGCTGGGTGGGCTGGGACCCTTCACCCAGCTGGGTGCAGCACTGGTGGCGTCAGGGTGGTCACTGAACACATTTCCCACTTCTCACAACAAGGAGTGTGTGTCACTGACATATTTTCTGAAAAATCCCTTTGCCAGGGTCTTTTCT